TGCCAGCTCTTCTGCCAGGAGGGCTGAGGGTCCAACACGTTTCTTCTACCTCTGAGCTACGTTGTTGCCGGCGGCATGAGCTGCCTGGCCCTGCCTTGCCCACCTGCCCGGCCATTGGGAGTCGGGGAAGGAAAGACAATTTTCTGAAGCCTCTGGTGTGTGGCTGGCAGACCCAAGGCACTGCAGACACGTGAGCTGCTTCCTGCTGCTCCTCTCCGGCTCAAGGTAAATGCATAGCAGGCTTAGAGGTCTCCGTGGATCGCAGGTCTCCTCCCCCACCCTTGCCTCACAGTTTGGTGGGAGTCCATTGCTGGCTTCCCTACAACTCTCCAGTCTCGAAGCATCGTTAAGACTGAGCTCCTTGGGGATCATAGTTGCCCCGTTAGGCTGAGAACTTGAACCTAAATCCTACCCCCGCACCCCCCACCACCAATTTTTTTTTTTTTAATAAGGAGTTTGTGTTAGTCTGGGATGACTAGAGAAACAAATCCAAGGAGGTACTTGTGTGTGTAAGAGAGAATGTTATATCAAAGAGCAATTGTACATTAAGAAAACATCCCAGCCCAGTCCAGATCAAGTCCATAAGTCCGATATTACCCCCTATGTTGATACTAGTCCATAAATTCTTTAGGCTCATGCAACCATGCAGTGATGCCGAATGCAGGAAGATCACAGGCCAGTAGGTGGAAAGTCTTGTGGATCCAGTGGTGGTGGACGCATCTCAGCTCTGGTGTGGGTCTCCATGTGGCTTCTCCAGCTCCAGGGCACTTGCTCCATCAGTGGAGCTCCATGTGGCTTGTCAACAGGAATGTCTGGCAGGGAGTGAGCGTGTGTCCCGCCTCCAGTGAGCTATTTATCTCCTTCGTGCCTCCAACAAGGTCATCCAGCTGTGACCTGATTGACAGGCTAGACTCCACCCCTTTGCAAGTTGACAGGAGGTTTGCCACAGGATTCCTATGTTTTATAGTTAAACCAAGTGCGGAGGCACATCATGTAGCACATGGAAAAGACATGACGGTAATGATGGGGTGCAAAGAGAGCTTGGGCCCCAGAGCACACTCTGCAGAGGGGCAGCAAAGAAGGCATGGAGAGTGTCCCGGGAGACCAATGGCCACTATTAGGGCTGGACCATAGGGTGTCTGTCACATGCTGCACCTGCTGTGGACATAATTGTGATGCTGAATGGTTTTAAACCCCCGTGATGGCGGAGGGAGAAGTGATGAGTTGTAACCAGAAGGAAAATGAACACATCTGTATGGCATTTGTATGGCATCCCGCTTTTTGGCCATCGTGTGGGAGGAAGTGAGTTTCAGAGGACTTGAAAATCAGAAGCCACCTAGTCCTGGTGGCCTCTCTGTGTCCTCCCCGCCAAGGTCTATGGCAGGAGAGAAGGTTAGAGCTGAAGGAGGCTCAGAGACTTAGCCTCAGGGCTTCCTATTACAGTTCCATGCTGTACTGCCTGCCATCTCTACTCTGCCTTTCATTCAAATGTTGTGTCCAAGATTATAGGGCAGCTACACCCTGCTGGCCACTGCCAAATAAAATTAATTAGCCCCCACTTATACACCAAGGCATGTCCTTTTCACATGTCCCATGGACTCAATGCTGGGTGTTCTGGAATGGTAGATTTCCACCCCACCCCCCTACTCCACAGTTTAAGTGCCCATGCTATAAGTATTTAATGACACGCTGGTATCAGCATGTCCTCTGGATGAGACGATCATCTGTGAAGGCAAGAACGTTGACCTTCTCTCTACTTCGTTCCACGTAGCTGTGTGGCCTTGAGGAAGTCACAGGAGCCTGTGTGTCCTCACTGGGAACAGCAATACGGGCAGTCCCTCTGCATGGTGGTAGTAAGCCCCGCCCAGTGCTGCGGGTTCTCTCTGACTCAGAGGAGAACTGCCCCATCGGGTGTCCAGGCTCGCATCCTTCTCCCTCAGAACAACTGCTGCGTGTGACGTGCCAACTTTTAGTTAACACGTGAGCCGCTGTTTGTTTCAGAATGGTGGCACCAGGACTCCTGTCGTTAGGGCTGGAGGGAGATCTTGCAAGGTGCCAGCCTGGGACCTGGCACACAGTGGGGCCCCGGTTGATGGTAGCTGCTGCCGTCTGGGAAGAAGCACAGGCAGCGCGCTCCTGAGGAGCGAGGATGCTGAGACTCATCTCACACACTTGGGACATGTGATCGGGAGGGACCAGGCCCTGGGGAAGAACAGGGTTAGGGAGCTTGGCAAAGTGTGGGGGTTAGTGAAAAGGGGGAAGACCCCAGTGGGATGCATTCACACACACACACACACACACACATTCACTGTCACTGAGTCACTGTCATCTCAGTGGCCCTTTAGGAGAGGGTGGTGCTTTTGAACTGCTGACCTTGCAGATGGGGACCCACTTGCCCCCTCTCTGCCATGGTGACTACAAAGGGACTCACTCACGGCAGCAGTTGTGAGGATGGCGCAGGGCCTGGGCTCCGGCCGGCATTCCACAGGGGGCCACTCTGACTCAGAACCAGCCCGCGACACAGCCCAGCTGCTGGCAACAGGAGCCTTGGGGGCAATGGACTCGGTGGCAGTGAGTGAGTTAGTGGGTGTCTTTCTTCAACACTTCACTTTGGACATATGGCTCAGGTAAGTCAGGAAAACGCTCCCATTTCTTATGGTGGGGAAGAAAAAACAACCATTAAAGGTTCGTGTAGTTTATGCAAACCACTCACCGCAGCAGAGCTGTGCAGAAGGAACGTGGGCCTGAAGGCCAGGGCTGGTGGGGATGCACTGAAAGTCTTTCTCCCGCAGGCTGGTGCAGCATGATCGAGCTGAACTTCCAGGATGCATTCGATGCCTTTGAGAGGCTGAAGAACGAGTCCAGGTGGTCCCAGTGCTACTACGCCTACTTAACTGCAGGTGCGTGGGCCGAGGGCGGAGGGCCGAGCCCATGCGTTTCTGCTTGGTGGGCTCACCAGCCTTTGGGCGAGGGGACTGAGATGGGGCTGTTCTTGGAGCTTCCCCAGCATGTGAAAGTTCTCGGCTGCAGGTAGCCAGCAGCGGAACACAGTGGTCTCACCCACCGCTCAACTCCCAGAAACTCCGTCCTGCACACCGGCCCCTTTGTACCCCTGGCCCATCGAATGGGGTCATGCACTCCCTGAAGGAACGTCTTTTTTTTTTTTTTTTTAATCATTTCATTAGGGACTCATACAACATTTATCACAATCCAT